AATTTTACTATGTTGGCCAGGCTGGTCTCAAAGAGAAGAGACAGAGTTTCACCATGTTGGCCAGGCTATTCTTGAACTCCTGACCTCAGGTGATCCACCCACCTTGGCCTCCCAAAGTGCTGGGAATACAGGCATGAGACACCGCACCCAGCAAGAAAGTATCATTTTTACCTTCAAACAGCACCTAAAGAAAAGGATCCTCAAGCTAGCTGATTCTCTAATGGGAGTATCACCACTAAAACCTACAGCAAGCTGTAAGGTTTATAAGTATCATTCTACTATAATTATGAAAAATTATGATTGTCAAAAAGTAAATAACTGAGACAAACAAAATTTCTGAAACTACAATAGAATTATGAATGTTATGCTGCCTTAACTCACATGTATTCTTTAAATATTAAAATTTTGGGGCTATATACCTAAAAAATTAAAAATGGATAAAACACAATTTCTAACATTAAGTACATTATAGTCTCCATGATATATAAAAATGTATGTGTGTAAAAAGCTTAAAAGCAAGTAAATTCATTGATAACTATTCTTTCTTTGGATGTTTCAGAGATATTATTAAACTCTTTTTAAAAAAGTTTACTTTTAATTTATGTTAAGAAACTAGTCCTTGACCTTAAATGTCACTATGCATGGAATTTATAGGAGATATATTTTATATACTGTATATATACAAGAATTACTCAAGATAGATTCAAGTAAAGCAGCTTCCTCCACAAAAGAAGGGTAAGATCATGAAAGAGAACCTTAATTATGTTTCTTTTTATCAGCCTAACTGTCCCAGAGAGTGAACCAAAACAGAGGTGGTAACTTAGAGGTGACATCACCATCAACTTTTCATGAACTGTCATAAACAGTTGGTAGTAAATTGACATCAAACATAGAAAACAACTTCCCCCCAAATACTAAGCCTTTATAACAATTTGTTTTTTAAGCCAAATACTAAGTTAAAAGACAGTAATGTTAATTTTTACTCTAACTGCAGATGTAGACTATTATAAAATGAATGTAGACTATTATAAAATTATAGCTTACAATCACTAAACATGTATTCTATGCAGATACAATTTGAAATACTTCATATATATGCATTTCCTCAATCTTTACAGCAATGCTATGACAGGAAGGCTTCTATTGCTCCTACTCTACACTTAAAGAAACTGAGTCAGAGAGAGGTTACTTGGTTATTAAGAGGTGGATATAAATTAAAACAAATAAAATGCCAATATTTTTCAAAAACATATTCAGATTTATTTCTAATGCACTAATAGAGCAGCTTATGCTTCACTCACATAGCTTATTCCCTCACTTTCTTTGGATCTCTGCTCAAATACTGCCTCACTGAGTTGGGCACAGCAGCACGAGCTTATAGTCCCAGCTACTTGGAAAGCCAAGGCAAGAGGATCCTTTGAGACCAGGAGTTCTAGACCAGCCTGGGCAACATAGCAAGACCCTGTCTCAAACAAACAAACAAACAAACAAACAAAATACTACCTAATTGGAGAGGCCTTCTTTACATAAAATGAAAACCTGTCCATCACTTTCTACCCTGTACACACACTCACTTTTTCCATTATGTAACCCTAGCTAATAAGTAATAGCTATTTATTTGTTCTTTTGTTTATAATCTGTTTCATGCCGGTCAAATATGCTTCACGTCTAGAAAGTGCCTGGCACGTAGTATGTGCCTAATAAATATTTGTTACTTAAATAATCCTGATAAGAATTAATTCCAAGGCCTATAAGACAGTTTATACAATATTTTTAATCTTGAGGACAATAGCCATTTAAAAATATCATTTTTAGTCTTTAAAAAATCATGTTTGGCTGGGCGCGGTGGCTCACGCCTGTAATCCCAGCACTTTGGGAGGCCGAGGCGGGTGGATCACGAGGTCACGAGATCAAGACCATCCTGGTCAACATGGTGAAACCCCGTCTCTACT